CCCTCAAAGCGGGCTGGTGCGCCCGGGCGCACAGCGTGGAGCGGGCGCCCCATCTCGGCCTCGGCTTCGGAGCGCCTGGGCCAGCAACCCGCAGCGCTTGGGGGGCGGAGAAGGGGGGGGGGACCTTTCCTTCCCTCTTCAGCCACGAGGAGAGAGAGAGCGAGAGAGAGAAGGCTCTGGAGGCCTTGCCTCTTTCATTGGTTAATATTTTATTCTGTTGACATGTTTTCTTACTGGCGATCTTTCCAACACCTTTTCTTCTTCTCTTTCTCCTCCTTCTCCTCCTGCGCGGTGGCGCGCGCGCGCCCGCGGAGGGGTCGGAGTGGTGTGGGTGTGTGGGGGGGGTTGAGCCAGCGAGCGAGAGGAGGAGAGGGAGAGGAGGGGAGGGGTCGGAGTGGTGTGGGTGTGTGGGGGGGGTTGAGCCAGCGAGCGAGAGGAGGAGAGGGAGGCTGGAGGAGAGGAGGGAGAAAGGAGGAGAGAGCGAAGAGGTGGAGGCGTCAGCGAGGGCGCAGAGCCGGGCGAGATATAGGTCCCCCTTTTCACACGCACACGCGCACACACACCTCACCCAGATCGAAACCCGTCCTGCCTCTCGCTCGCTCGCTCTCTTTCCCCTCCGCCTGGGAAGCGATGAAGCCTCGGGCTCCCGGCTCGGCTAGCGGCGTCGGTCCAAATCCGGAGGTGCTCGATCCTTGACTCTCTCTCCCCCCCCCCTCCCCGCCCAGCCACCCCAAAGCGCCGAGGTTTGGTTTCGGTTTGGGCTTGGCAAGCGAGCGACGCAGGGAAGGCGAGGCTGGGCCGGCTGCCCCGTCGGAAACGGGGGGGAAAAGTCGTGCGCCGAGGCGAGGACGACCGGCGTTGGCTTTCTCCCTCCCTCTCTCGCTCAGGATCGAGCCTGCGGGGGTGTTTCCTCCCCCCCTCCCGTTCCTCGCTCGGAGGGGGAGGCCAGGAGTTTTCTTTCAAGCCTGCAGGTTGGGGGGCACCCGAGGCTCCCCCTGGACTCCCCCCCCCTTCTCTGCGCTGAGCAGATCGTCTTGAGCAGCGCGTTTACACGGCGTCGCTTTCTTCGGAGGCGTTCCGAATTCACGCCGGCGAGGGGATTTCTCGGGGTTGCGTTTTTCTTCCGCCCGCCCCCCCTCCAGATCTGGGGCTGAAGAGCAGCCCAGACCCCCTTTTGGCTTCCCGTTCGCAAGAAAACCCGGCAGGACTCACCGGCGCCTCGGCGACCTCCAGAAGAAAACCCAGGTTCCCTCCGGCCGTTTCATTGATCTCCGGTGCCTGGGGGAGAAGAGGGGGGGGCGACATCCTCCTTCCTTGTCTCCCCTCTCGTTGGGGGGGGAGGAATCTCCCCTGATCGCGCGGCACCCCAGAAGAAAAAAACAGGGTGGAAATGGACTAACCAGTCCGCGGGAAGGAAACCCAGCAAGGAAGCGAGACCCTTACGCGCGCGCACAGACACACAAAATCCCCAAAAAGCAGAATTGAAATTGACCAGCCTTTCGCCTGAACTCGCAGGGAGAGGCGTGTGAGTGAATCCGGGTTGGGGGGGGGGGGGGGGGAACATTGCAATTGACAAGTCCAGCGAGCAGCAGACCGTCGCCTCTCTCCTTCTTCTTCCTCCTCCTCCTCCTCCTCTTTCGCCTCCCGCCCTTCGCCGGCTCCCCAACCCCTCCCTCGCTGGAGGGATTGCCTTTTTTTCTCCGGGAACCGTGGATGTCCTGATGCGAGACCCAGCTTTTCCGGGGACTGCGATGGCTTACCACCCGTTCCACGCGCCCAGGCCGTCCGATTTCCCCATGTCTGCTTTCTTAGCGGCCGCCCAGCCTTCTTTCTTCCCGGCTCTGGCTTTGCCTCCGGCCGCCCTCACCAAACCACTGCCGGATCCCAGCCTGGCCGGAGCCGCCGCCGCCGCCGAGGCCGGCTTGCACGTCTCGGCGCTCGGGCACCACCACCAAGCCGCTCATCTGAGGTCGCTCAAAAGCCTGGAGCCCGAGGAAGAGGTCGAAGACGACCCCAAAGTGACCCTGGAAGCCAAGGATCTCTGGGATCAGTTTCACAAACTGGGCACGGAAATGGTGATCACCAAATCGGGAAGGTAAGGAGAACCGGCTGCTCTCCGCTCCGCCTGCGGTAGCAATAACAGTGGTGATAATAATAATAGCATTTCCCCCCTTTGTATAAAAGTAGCAGCAGTTAGCAGCCACAAGAAGTAACTCGTGAATCAGCTTGATTTCTAAAGAGGTTGCAGAAAATCAAGCTCTTTCTTTAGCCCCATTCAATTTTTAATATATATAATATATATATATTTTAAAATATATTCACAATACATATTTTCCACCCCAGAGCATCTGAGCTACTCTACTGCCGGTGGATCTCCCTGAAACCAAATGGAGTTTCTTTCTAAAGGATTGCTCCTCTGTGGTATGGTTGGGCCACTTTTCTCCCAGAATAAGTACATAAAAGGCCTGCCAAAATCCGGAGAGGGTTTTCTTTAAATGGGATTTAGGAAGACCGGTGGTTGTGAATTTTCCACACGGACAGGAATCTCTGTTGGGGTTAGAGAGAAAACATATTTTAAGGACACTTCCAGGCACTTAAAAAGTTTTCTTTTAAATTATTATTATTATTTCATAATTTGAGCCCCATAATCTTAAATTACATTTTGTTTACAAAGTGTTTAATTGTTCTGGGGTGTTGTTATTTTTTTTTTAAATCCCTTTTGGTATCTGGCTGATACCTTCAGATCCTTGTCCTTTTCTCCAAAATAGGCTGATTTCGTCAAGGAAATAATATAGGTTTTTGGTACCCCTGTAGAACAACTCGGATCCCTAGACTTTAAATGCCATAAAGCCAAAGAGCAGGACGACCGTAGGATCCGAGGCACGCTGACCAGCGAGCAAGCGCCCCTGGAAACCTTTCAGAGTAAAATCAGGGATCAAATGAAGGGAAGGCCACAGAAGAACTTAGGAGAGGCAGCTTCTGTCCTCATTGTCCCCTCTCCAGAGTGTTACTCGTGAGTGCAGTTTCTGGAAATAATTCTGACCAGGTTCCCTTCTATAACCTGCAGTGGGATCTCAAAAACCTAATGGAATGGAGGGGGGTGTCTGTTAAATTACATTTATTTTTTCCATCTGATTTTTGTGAGAGGCGAGAGATCTATGGCTTCTGCTCCCCTGGTGTCTTTCTCCAGATAGAATCAGTGGGGAAAAAAAACTCTTTTATACTTAAGACAGGTTTCATCCATTTCTCTCCTCTTCCCCCCCCCCTGCAAAGGGGTGTCTTTACTATTTTGGAATTTGCTCTTTGCTTCTTTTTTTTCCTGGCTAGGGTCGAGCCAAATTTGCCCTCCTCAAAGAAAAGAAGAGGGCCAGCTGGGGCTTTGGTTGGTGTTTTTGAATTCGACAGGGCACCCCTGGTAGCTGTAGAATTAAACAACATTTTAAAAAAACACCCTGCAGACATGTAACTGGGTCACTAGACCTCTATATGCTCTATCCAGATTATAACTTCCTTTTGAACCTGGGTTTTTAAATCTCTAAGCAGGAACCTCTTTTATCTATATCTTTTTTTCCTCCCCCCCCCCTTTTCATCTTTGTTTTGGTTAATCAGTTCCTAAAATAGAATTCCAACTTGTACACGGCGGGCCAGCCGGCGTTCGGCCCAAGCACTTCATAGGAAATCCCATAGAATGGGATGTGACTGAACGACAGAGTAAAAACCTGTTTCTAAGCAGTCAACCCTGTTTATAGGAGCTGGGTATTTGCATGGGAAAAGAACCGTTCATTTTTAGGGTGTTCCGCCACCCCCCTTTCAAAAGTTTATCCTGCTGCAAAACAAAGTTTCAAGTTTGCTCCTGTTTCACAGGAAGGGAGGTATATGTTCCTTTAAATAAATAAATAAATAAGCGAAAGGTTGATGATTAAACCCTAGCTGCTTTTAATTTTTTTCCCCTAAGGCCTAAACAGAAGAGCTGTCCCCTCAAAAACTGGGTTTACTCGCAACTTCGTTAAGGCTCAATGCAGTCTGGTCTACAGATCCCCTGTGATCCCGGATCTGTGATGGGTCAAAGTCATTCCCCGGATGTGCAGTGGGGGTAGATTTCCCCTAAGATTGTGTGTGTTTTAGGATCAGCTGAAATCCTATTCTTTTTTTTTGGCAGAACGTAACATCAGATTCTTGCGACTCAGTGGGTTTACGCAGAAGTAAGCCACACCAAACTCTGTACCTTCCCCCCCACACACCCCAACCTGTCTTTTTCAGCTCCTTTTTTTAAAAAAAGGGGGGAGATTGAAGCTTCAGGGGGAAGCTTTTTATGAACACCCAGCTAGTCCACTGTAGTGGACTAGTTTGGAGGCACAAAAAAATATACAGATCTGAAAATTTTAATGGACAGTTCTGGGGTTGCTGGTCTTGCCTTGAATTTAAACAGACAACCCCCCTTGTGGGTTTGAGGTTTCCTTCCCTTCTTTCTTAGAGTGGAATTAATATTATTATTTTTTAAAGGAGGGGTGGAAATGAGCTTGCTTTAAAATCCGGACTGTTTCCCCCACACCGTTCTCTTCTTCCCATTAGGCGCATGTTTCCACCCTTTAAAGTGCGAGTGAGCGGCCTGGATAAGAAAGCCAAGTATATTTTATTAATGGACATTGTGGCCGCCGATGACTGTCGCTACAAATTCCACAATTCTCGCTGGATGGTGGCCGGGAAGGCGGACCCGGAGATGCCCAAACGCATGTACATCCACCCGGATAGCCCGGCCACAGGAGAACAGTGGATGGCCAAACCTGTAGCTTTCCACAAACTCAAGCTCACCAACAACATATCGGATAAACATGGCTTTGTAAGTATTTTAATTTTCCTCTCTCTTTTCGTTCCTCCCCTTTGCTTTCCTGAGTCAAAACAAGGGAGAAAGGGGATTTTATTTATTTATTTATTTCCGGGAGACTGGCAGGCTGCGATCTGGGCCCCTTTGCCCTAGGGACCCGACACACACACACACACACACACCCGGCTCCTGTCACACAATGGACACGTGTCTCTATCTTCAGATAATCTCTCCACTGGGAAACGGAGCGCAGGCGGGCAGGCCGGCTTTACATACAGCCCAGCGAGGTCAGATGGTCTGAATCGAGGCGTTCAGTCCCCGTTCCAAAATCTGGAGGCCTTTTACTTAATGAGTAAATGGAGTAAACACGGGCAGGCTCCGGCTGTCGTCTCTACTTCTCCCTCCCCTGCCCTTCAAGCCAGTGTTCGCAACGGAACAGGGTTAGGACCACTGGTAGCGGCGTGTCTGCAAAGGGACAACTCCGTGTAGGGAGAGACCGTGCGAACAGATCGGTCCCGTGGATGACTGACACCTTGTCACCTCGAGGGAAAAGCAAAGGGGTAACAACTTTATCCCTTTGAAATAAATCTGCTGGGTTTTTTTTCCCCCCGCCCAATAGTAAGGGAGCTGTATGATCAGGAATCAATAAATCCTTATGCCTTCTCTTTTCCTATCACTGGTTTAAAATTCAGAGTCACACTCGCTCACCCTGTTTTGTGGTAAGCTGGTGGGGAGGGGGAGGGAAGGAAGAACAAAAGCCTGAATTATAGGATATTTAGTCTACCGTGGACTAAATATCCTATAATTCAGTGGCATCCTATATGCCCCAAGCCTGTGTTAAGGGACCTACCACTGTAACAAGTGCTAAGGAAGTGAATTAAATTCTACTGATTTTTTCCTTTTTGGGTTGGGGTGTTTTTTTTGGGGGGGGGCATTTGGAAATCCAGTGAAAGCTGCCACCCTTCTCTGAACAAGAGGCCCAAGGTGTCCTGAAGATCAAGCGGGTCTGATAACGGTTACAACAGCAAAATCTAGGGCCAGCGTTCAGAGGAATAAATATATGGGGGTTTTTTTGTGCCCACTAACGTTTTAGGGTGCACATGAGAATGGGGAGGGAGAAGGGGGACCCTAGAATCCACCACACCTCGACACCCTCAGGACTGACTCCTGAGTAAGCCTGCTTGGGACAGCAGCCCTTACGATTTAAGGATTTGGGTTTCCATGCTTAGAAACCTACAAGTGTGTGGGGGGGAGGGGTATTTGTGTGTGTTTGCAGTTACCCAAAGAGGATTCATAGGGAATAATTTTCTTCCCCCAAAGTATACCTAGCTAAACTTTTTTACCTTAAAAGGGTGCAAAACAGCAAGAAACAAAAACCCAGTTACCCCAAAAACCCTCTAGCAAAAAACAACATGGGGGGGCATTCACAACCCCTTTGCGCTACCCCATAAATTGAAGAAGCAGGTTTCTACAAGTTTCCTTTGCTTTGCCTCTATTTTTATTTCGATTTGTCTCTGTTTCTCTCTATTTTGAGAGAGAAGGTGCCGACGAATTCATTCAGAAATAAATGTGTTGTTCTTTCGAAAATTCTGCACTCAGTTCTGCGATCCAGGAATGGCTCTGGGGTGGAAATGTAGAATTAGTCCCACCCACCCCCCACCCCCAAGTAAGGAGTCTTCTGACTAACTCCTTAAAAAATGAAACAATTTCTAAATGCATTTGCTTTCTAGACTGGAACCCACTTAATACATATAGATAAATCTATAAGGTGGGACAGGAGTCTTTGTTTGATTTCAATAGGATTGACACGACTACCCCCTCCCCAGGAAATAAAAAAATATTTTAAAAAAGATCTCGAAAGTAGACCTGTTTCCATTTCTACACTGGGTTCTTGTCCATATGAAATGGGTGGGGATGAGTGAGAAATGAAAGATAAACTGATGTTTTATTTTGAATTAAGGTTACAACTCACAGCGTGCTTTCCTACGAGTAATTTCCACGGAAAGTAAGTTTTACTTCTGCATAAAGAGGTTCACAGGCTTGCACGGTGTATTGTGCAAATCACTAAGAAGTGCAGGTCGTGCAAATCTGGATAAGGTGGTATCAAAAAGGGTTTGTTTTTTTTGTTCAAAATGGGTTTTTTTTCCCAGCAGTGTCCAGAAAAGGACCACAGGTTTAGACCAGGTTGGGGCAAAGGCCGATATGTTTAATATAATTGGGAAGGGAGAATTAATTGATTAAGATCTTTTCACTGGGGCAGAGGCATTAAGAAAAGGGGAAAGGGGGGGAAATATGGGGATAATTTCCATAAATCTTCAGGTTTTTCGCTGGGTGATGAATGACCTCTCTTTAAACCCAATTTAAGAGGTTACGGAAAGGTGTGGGTTTTTACAGAAGGGGTGGGAGGCAGGAAGGGGGGGGGAAAGGGCATAATTCACTTTACAGGTGTCTCTTAAAATGAAAGAGAGTCAGAAGGCGCCTGGTTTGGTCTCACCTTAGCAAATCCGAGACAGTAGGACCCGGTTTTTATTCGGCAGTTGAAGTCCCCTTGTGTTCCGTGCGGCTTACTCCCAGGTAAACAGGTGGCGTAGCCTGAGAGGAGGAGATCGAGTGGATTGGCCAACTCGCGAGCAGGCAAATGAGAAAGAAAGATTTAACAGGCGCCTAGTTTTCAGGGAAACGCTTTTTCCAGTTCCCCGTTACTGTTGCAACCCGGTTCAATTTCATTTGTAACGAAGTTTTTCCCACCCCCACCCCATTTCCGAAGGGTTTTACTTCGGAGTAGACGCAGAAGTTGTTAGAACTTGAAATTAGCAAAACGGGGGTGTGTGGAGAGACCGAAGGGACCCGATCCAGCATAAATTAAACCTCCTTCCCCGGCGCTGGTTATTAACTTGACTTCGGGGCGAGCCAGGCGCGTAAACACGTGTCTGACCCCCCTCTCTTTGGTTTCTTCGTTCCGTCGAAATCAGTGGGCTGTGCGTGCTGAAACCGGGCGGGTTTACTCGAAAGTAAACGCGCGGGGGGGGAGGGGGCAAGGCAGAAGCCCTCCAACGTACTTAGGTGGAGGTGAGTTCCAGTGATGGCATCTGACGGACCTTAAATAACCAAGCCCAGCGCACGTGTATTTTCTTAAAAGAGGGAGTGCAGGGTGGGGCTGGAAAGACTCTCCTAAGAGGAAGGGAGAGGTTTCCAAAATTGAACCGTTTCTGGACAAATCTGCTCTTAGGAGTGGAGAGGCGCAGATGCCGCGCCAGCCAGGACGAGAATGTTAAAACGTTCAATGGCCTGTGAAATTCCACCAAGGGGAAATAAATAAATAAATAAATAAGATTAAATAAGTCAATAAAACGGGGGTGACACTTCCCTTCCGATTATTTTACTCGGGTGTAAAATCCGAGGGTCCGACTGCACTGCCAGCGCCCCTCTTTGCGTGTTCTTTCGCTCTTAAATCAACCTCTTTGGTTTAAAGGGAAGCAAAAAAACAAAACAAAAAAAAAACACTCCGCACCATTTTAGGAGAAAAATCCCCATGGATCGATCCCCACGCGGCTGCTTTCCTCCGAGAAAACGGTGCTTCGATCTGGTTGCACCCTTTGAATTTGCAACCTGGCGGTGTGTGATAATTATCATCACTCCCATTTTCAGTAGGCTGGGCTCATGAGCGTTCTGAATCCTATTTCCAACTATAAAGGGGTCTCCTTGCAAGCAAGGACGTGATCCCACGAGTACTTACCTGTGGACATCAAACAGGATCTCTGGATAAAGCAGATCATATACCATGTGGTGTGTTTTTTTAAATTCCCGTCCCCCCCAGTTCATTCCTTGGGGTTCAAGCCGATTCCCTTACACGCAGTTTCAATGGGCCTGGTTAGGATGGATAGAGTGAGTTCCTCTAGACGATTACTCAGAAGTAAATTCCACCATGGGATTCAATGCAGTTTACTTCATGCATCCGTTGAGGTCGTGATGGTGGGGAAATCACAAGACAATGGCTACTCTGAAGTAAGTCTCGTTGATTGAAACGAGGCTTGTTTCTAGCCTTGAAGGAAGCGATCCAACCTCTTGCTGGAGTTGGTGGGGCTGACTTCCGAGTAAACGTGAACAAGAGCCGGCTCCATGGCACATTTCTCGCTCGCTGGGAGACTTTGCCTCAATATCGGTGTCGTTTTAATAACTCCTAGGTTTTTATAGCGTGCCCGTGTGGATCGGATTCTAGGTCAGGCATGGAGTACCTTCAGGATGGCCCCTCGCCCTCAATTTAAACTCCGGCGTCTCCGGCTTAACTGGCGTGTGGATAAGATGGCTTGTAGGGAAGTGGGTCGCCACCTTTCTCCCGAGCTGAAACGCCCTGGACTTTGGTTCTCCGGATTTACAAACAGGAGCGGGAAACAACAGACGGGAAGGGCAGCTCGTAGTCTTCCCCACGTTTACTCGGAAGTAAGCCGCACAAGCTCGGGCCAGGAGTCAAGGGCCTACGATAAAAATTGTTTTCCTGCTACCTGTTGACAAACAGGTCCCGTTCTTTGCAAACAGATTCATTTCCAAGGCTCAGAAAACCTGAGGTGCGCCTTCATACGCCCGACTGTAGCTTTCAGCGGAAGTTTGTTGCGTGTAACGTGTGAATGCGGGTACTCTTCGAGGCGTAAGCGACACGGGCTATTTAAGGTCGCAAGTTTCAGTAAGCTGTCTGGGGTGTGTGGTGGAGACAGAAGCGCATTGCATTCGCTAGGGCCTACTCTGGAGTAAATGATTTTTTCCCGTGAATCCTGAACATCGGACGTCAGATTTGATTTCTCTCTCCTCCCCCCCCCCCAAATATATAGGTATCTTATTTATTCACGCGTGGATGTAAACAATTATAGGTTGATACTTTAAATGCGGCTTTATCTCGGTTTAACCAAATGAGGAATCTAGGTACTGTATCACTAAGGAAAACTCCTTCACTGCTAAGAAGACGGCGATAAGAGCCTATTACTACCCCAATTAATAGAAGAAAAACGGGGGGGGGGTTTCCCTTCGAAATACAGCTAGCAACCCCCATTCATTTCAATGGAAAAGCGAGGCACCTGTTTGGGCCTATTGTGGTCACTGGGTCTGCTTCCGGGCGGTCCTTTGTCAACCTAAGCTGGGTTTACTTGCAAGTAAGCGTCTGGATCGCGTCTTTAGGCTTTGGCTACTTCTGTTGTTGCCAAACCCTGCAGCTGTCAGGGAGAGTGCCATTAACAACACCGTGGCTTCCTCGCGAGTAACGGTGTGCCTATGAAAAGCTTCCCCGCGCCTCTGTTTTTTTCCCCCCCTCTTCATACAGAAAATCCTATTGGGTTAAAACAAACAAAAAACACCACCAAAGATGGTAGGATGATTGTAAAAGGAGAGGTCCAAAGGTGAAGTCAATACGGTTTACTTCTAAGTAACCATATGTGTCTGAAGTTGTTCTCTTCATTATAGATGATGTTTCCAAATAATTATGCGTGAGTGGCACGTTATGGAAAAGGAGAATTATGCCTTCATTTGTTTAACAGGTTAAACCTGGAGTCCTTCAAAATTATACAAGAGACAACAGTTCTTCCTTGTCATTTCCCCTTCCCGGATTTTAATCCTTTTAAATCCAAAGAAAGTAACTGTAATCATCAGAAACGGGTCAATGTCGCTGAACCATCATTATTGATTATTAGCTTAATTCCGTGCATCGCACACCTAAGGGGCATTTCCTTTCGGACTGGAAACCTCAATATTTATTCTGTTCACCGCCCTTTGCACCTGAATGCCTCCACGCTTACTCAGAGGTAGACCTCCACCTTTTGGTTCAATGGGGATCCCTCTCAGAACACCGAGTTTTAAAACAAGTGTGTTTTCCAATGGAAACGCTCAAGTGGCTTTGAAAAAGGAAGAGGTACACTGGCAGCTCCCTGTGCTTGCTCGTGAGTAAGTTGCCTCTACAAGCCCTGAGGAAGGTTGGGTTGGATCCTCCCCTTCTCTCGCTACAAACGAATCCAACATGTTGGATGGTGTGTGTGTTTTAATCGTCTCATGTTGACTTCCCAAACTCTATTTAGGTGAAGAAACTTGCAAGAGAGTAGGGGGGAAAAAACCACTTGATTCTTATTGAGGATCAAGGCCCGCTTGCCTAGGCAGTCAACCGCATGGGACTTCTGTGAAAAGCTATCCTTGATTTTCTTTTCCAGGCAGAATTGACTATTTCAGATTTGTGTAGTAGGGCCCAGCTCTCCTTAAACATGTGTTTAAAATATTTTTGTATGAATTACAAGTAGTCATTAGTAATCGCAATGATAGTAATAACAGCTTCCATCACAGGCCTTAAACTTGCAGCCTTTATGGGGAATGGGGTGCAACTCAGGAGTAAATGTTCAGGCAGAACCCACATCTGCCTTCTTCCCAGTAAACTGAATAACGTCCAAGATAAATTATGCGTAGAGTTAATTTTGCTTAGAAGGAAACAATCCCGTAAAGCAATCGCCCATGGGTGCAATGGACCTTACTCCTGAGTAGACATTTGCCCTGGGGGGAGGTGTTGGTAAAATGGACTTGTTATTTAAATAGCTCACATTTTGACATGTGATCCAGGCCAGGTGGTATACAGTACACTTTTTAAAAATCCCACTGAGCTCCACTAGAAATTCACCCATTAAAATTTTTAAAAGGTGGATTTCTAGAGTGCTGGCTCCAGCTACTTCCTAGTTATTCCCATTAATTTTCATAGAAACGTGTTACAAAATTATCTAGCTGTCTCTTCTGTATTTTCCTCAGTGTGGGCCTTCTTTCTATAGGAGCAGAAGATTTTTCTGCAGGGAGGAAAGGATAGGGGGGTGAAAAGGAATAAAGATAATTAACTCTTTGCATGGATTCTAGGCGGTCGGCCCTAAATAAACACCCCTGCTTTCCTTCCCTATCACACTACACATTCAGTGGCGAAGTTGCTCCCCCATCATACGCTTGCCTTCAGTGTGAGCATATGAGAAAATGAGAGGCAGAGATTATATCAAACTAGTTTTTTAGAATGCAAATGAATGCCCATGGAAAAAAACTTTGGGAACAAGTTGTGTTAATTCAGGTCTCATTAAGTTCAATGAACTTTCTCTTCTTCTTGCTCATAATTGCACGCACAATCCATACAAGTCGACTCAGAAGGGCATTAAATTAATCCCGTGTATGGCTGCTCCTCATTCAGTTCAATTGAATCTCTTCCCTGTCAGGCTGAAATCCTGTACACACCTCCTTGGGATTAAGCCTCTTTGAGCCCAAGAGGGATTTCGGTTCTAATAAATGCCTCTAGGATTAATCTGTAAATTGAGGAAGGTTTACTCACAAGGAACCTCTATTTTGTCCAGTCCTCATTTTCCCCCTCACCTCAGTGACACAGATAAGGGCCATTTTTTAAAAATAAGAAACATGGAAATCCATCCAGCATGTATAACAGACTGGTTAAAAACGTAAAAAGAAAAAGCTCTTCGTTTCACCTACAAATCTAGTTAAGAGTAGTCCGTTTTAAATGGTCTCTTAGGAAAACACAGAGTTCCCCCCTCATTCTTGGCTAAATTCCAAAATAAAATTCTGATTATAATATTTTTAATCCACTGCTCTTTGTTCAGTAGAGCTGGGCACCTTTTATTTGGTAGAAAAGCCTGGTTTCAGCAGGTCTTACTCACAAGGAGGTGGTACTGAGGTGGGAGTGGCCTCATATCAGGATCACAGGCCTTGTACAGGGGTCCCTTCCACCTCTGCAGTTGTAAGATTATATAAAGATGTGGCCATGTGTGAGCAATTTTGAAAAGATCTCTAACTATCTGGGATGATAAACTCAGTTCTTGACTTATTCTCTACTTCTTCCTTTGGTTCTTTCCTAAATAATTGCCAGGATAAATAAATATCAACTAAGGGGTGGGTGCGTGGGGAAGAAATTATTTCTTTTAGCCCCCTCTCTAACAAAAGAGGCTTTACTAATTTAAAAAACAACAGGAAATTTGCAAAAGGAAATATCTGTTTTATGTCTTGTTGCTTACGTCCTTATGGCTCTTATTTAAGAAATTTGAAAATACGTTTTGCTTTACTTCCTGACGGCTCTTCACTATATTTCTCTCTCTTCCCTCCCCACCTTCTGCCCTCGGTCCCTCCACCTGGAAACAGACCATCCTGAATTCAATGCACAAGTATCAGCCAAGGTTCCACATCGTCCGGGCGAATGACATTCTGAAGTTACCTTACAGCACCTTCCGGACCTACGTGTTTCCCGAAACGGACTTCATAGCAGTGACTGCTTATCAAAACGACAAGGTAAAGGGGAAAAGAGAGGCCTCACGTTGTATGGGTGTCATGAGATCTGGGCTTGTCTTACTCCATTTTTAAGGACTTTCCATTTCCCCCCCCCGCCCGCCAAAACAAAACATCTCTCCCAGAGGTGGACCGATTTCCCAGAAATTTCACCTATGCTAGGGGAAAAAACAAACCAAAATAAACATCTCTTCTATGCACACCAGGGACCTGATTATCCATGGTGGATCAGGCCCAGGCTGCAGGGCAAACCATTTCAAAAAGGCATTTTTCCCCCTTAGTCTTCCACCAGCAGCTGGTAGTCAAATATAGACTGCTATTGCCTAGGTAGGCTCCATTTGCCAATGAGGCTCCTATTTATTTGTCTCGGGCTAGACAGCTCTCCACACAGCCCAGGAAAGATTCTCAAAGGGCCCTCCTCATTCTCCTAAGGGTCAGAGAAAGTTAGAAAGGGGGATAAAGGGATATATGTGTATAACCTCTGTCAAACCTGGGAGAAGTTGAGCCGAGTTCCGGAAGCAAAGAAGGCGTGGGGAATAAGGGAACATGTTGAAAACCCTATTGCCGCCCCTAAAAAAAAACAAACTGGAAAGGAATTTAGCAGTGCAGTTCTGGACAGATAATAAGGGGCAATTTAATATATGGATCTTACTTCCGAGTCAATAGGCACTGACTTAGCAATTGTTTTTAGCTGCATTTATTCGGAGGTGAAGTGTTTATTCCTTGCGTCCAGCAGGATTTCCTTGTGAGGAAATATGACTGCCTGGCCTCACCCCGGGCCTATGAGTTTTATCTTCTCAAAAAATGGTTCCTTTCGAAGCTGATTTGCTTCTGGAGCTCATTCGTGATTTGGAGATGGGACGGGGGAAAAACTTTATCAGTCGGATTGAAATTTGGTTTCGAAGGAAAAACAAGGCGAAATTTTTGCTGAAGTCGTTGGGAGCCTGCTTTGGGGTGGGGCAAGAGGAAGTCAGGACCAACCCTCTACCAGACACACACACGCGCAGACCTCGCAGTCACACGCGTCCGCGCACAGACACACGCACACACACACACACACACACACAGAGCTCCCTTGGTCTTTTGCCTGGGGTTGCTCCCTCTGCGGTGGGCCCTGCTTCGGAATAATCGTTAATCGATTATGAACTTTGCCATAAAGTTTACGAGGCAAACAAGCCCACAAGGATGTTTCTGGACGGCTGTCAATTAGTCCGGGAGGCAGCCGGCTGGCGGTGCAGTGGGGGAGGGAGAGAATACCCCTCTGTGTGTGTGTGTGTGTCTGTGTGTGTCTGTGTTTGTGTGAATTAGTGTGTGTGTGTGTCTGTGTCTGTGTGTGCCTGTGTTTGTGTGAATAAAAAAAACATCTTGACACCTGACCTCCAGAGATGGCTTCCTTTTGAGCTGCGGAAATCTTATTCAGATACATCTCCAAACAGCCTTCGAGAGAGTGTCTATGTGCCATTAACCCCTTTGGCAAAGATACAACTAATTAACGAATTACGATTTTAACAAAAAAAAATCTTTCAGTGGAGACACCTTGGGTAGGTAGACATGGATTTCTTTTGCCTTTCTTAGGTTGTGCAAAGCAAACTGTCTTCAGATGTGAAAAACAAGTCCAGAAAAACTTAATGTCTGGTTCCCTCCTCTGCGCTCTAGGCCATAGAAGCAAAAACTTCAGATCTTGGGGTTCCCCACCCCACCCGCCCCAGCTCTGAACAAGCCTCACTCCCCCAGCCCTGATGCCCTCCTTTGTTGTTCTGGTTGCTTTGAACGTGAAATCCTGCCCAACGGCAGGAGACAACCTTAGTTATTGCGCCCTGGAGGACTAGATTTCCGCCAGCGTGGATGGCCCTCCAGCACAAGAGAACATGCCTTGTAGATAAACCCTGTTTATAGCACAGATCTGTCTGTATTTGCATGAAAAGGAATTGCATCCAGTCTGATTGGGCTTACTCCCAAGTCGGTGAAAGGCTGAAGCCTTCAGGGGCCGAGTTAAGCCCCATCGTGTGAAAACATGAGGACTAGCATCTAGAATAGAAATATTTAATTTATGCTCTCACTTGGAAGTAAATTGCATTGATGTTTACCCAGTTTGATCCAGAGAAACTGGGAAGACACGGCTCAGAGTCTAGACAACTGAATCTACGGTGTGTCCCTATTTCTGTAGGGTTGTGTTGTTATTGTTACATGCCATCAATTCGCCTAAGACTTATAGAGATCCTATGAATGAAGAGATCTCCAAAATGCCCTATCCTCAACAGCCCTCCTCAACTCTTGTACACTCAAGTATGTGGCTTCCGTTTAGGAGTCAGACCATCTTGTATCTAATCTTCCTCTTTTCCTGCGGCCTTAGACATTTGCCAGCATTATTGTCTTTTCCAGAAAATCATGCCTTCTCTTGATGGCTTTGTATGATAGGGCTATATATATTCATCTATACCTAATTCTGTTAGTGCCCTCTCTGTTCTAGCTAGACAGAACAGGGCTCAGCTTCAAAAAGGTGCAAACTGAATCCCTGTTTGGAAGCTTTTTAAAGTTTAATAATAATAATAATGAGTTTAACATTTTGTGTGGAAAATAAAATATCATTAATGGTGCAATTATGGGAGTATCAACTCAGAAACTGGCTCCAAACCTAATGGGTATTGCTTCCCAATTAAAATGTACCAAAATTGTAGTGCGCGTTAGAACAAAATCTCCGTTTCCTCTCTTATAATTTAAATGGATTGGCCAGAAACGGACAATGGATAAAAGCAGAAGCCAAAGTGGAAGTAACATGCAGAATGTCCTGCTAAGGAGTTGGGGGTGTCTGATTTGGCCTCTGGTTTCCAGGGCATTGAAAAGGAAAATAAATAAATCCACAGGGAACTGAAGGGTGGGTGAATTGGACCCTGAGCCTTAATGTACAGTGGCAGTCTACCTTTCAGTGCCAGACACAAGAATCCAGCAAGCGGCCCCTTGTTTTCCTTCCTGCCGCTGGCGAGTCTCCAGGACTAGATTGAACAGAATTTGGGAAAGTGACAATTTTGGATGACCGCTCCCACAATCCAGGTGTTGTCCAAAACTGTAACTTCCCCGAAGCTTTATCCTGAGTGGATCCTGGCGCCCAAGGTCCGCTGGAAAGGGGATGCAGGAGGAAGGTGATTAATTGATGCGCTTCTGGGGGGGGGGAATATACTCCGCTTGGGTTTCCTAGCGGGATTATTCCGGTTCTAAATGCGCCGCTTGGTTTCGGAACGAAACCTCCCGCGACGCCGGGAGGAAAGGGCGGAGAGAGAGAGCGAGAGAGCGGCGGAGGGCCGAAAACGAAAAAGAGAATCGCCCCATCCATTTTTTAACGCGCGGCGGGACAGATTACCGAGCCATGAATAATTGAGGCGCCTCCCGCCGCCGGCGCTTCGGAGAGACGCTGCGGGCGCGCTTCCCCGACTCCGGATCAGGGACCGCCGCCTTCTCAACAACGCTGCCTCTGTGCGTAGCTCCTTGTCCCCCCCCCAAGAGGCCCGTGAGAAACGGGGGGCCGGTGGTTGCTGGAGGCCGGGGTTGTGTGTGTGTAGAGGCGCTTCCTATCATTAACCGCCCCCCCCCCGCATGAATAATTCGGGCGAAACCTCGAGCATCATTTTTAATAAAGACCGCCTGTGCGTTTAAACCGGAGGGGGATTCGGAGCGCTTTCTCTTCCCTCCTCTCCCTTCGAAACCCGGAGCGAAACAAGTGGGTTGGTGGGCCTTGCTTTTCGGGCCACACCGGAGGGGGGGAGGAATCGTAGGGTGCTACTCGGGGATGATGGGAGCTGGAGTCCATGCAGGATAAGCCTATCAAAGTGCAAGCTACCTAGTGTCCTGTTACTCTGTAGTAAATAAGAAGAGGGAAATCCTCTTTACCTCTTTCAGGAACTGGAGTAGCCACTGGGTGCAGACAGGATTGGCTTGGGTTATTTAATTATTTGCCTCTGATTTCTTCCATTCTTAAATCACTGGGATCTGAAGGGGTTGGGGGGATGGTTTTAAAGACCCCCCTTGTCAAAGGCTTCTTCCTTTAAAAGATGAGTAATAGCATTCTGATTTCAGAACTGTCCAGCGCCTAGCACATTGTGGTGGATGGGCGAAGGAGCCCTTAAAGGCAAGCCCAGAGAAAACTGCTTTAAAAAAAAAAATTAATTAAACGTTCCCCCTCTTTTGCTCTTTCATTGTTCCTCCCAGATCACTCAGCTGAAAATTGACAACAATCCCTTTGCGAAAGGATTCAGAGATACCGGGAATGGGCGACGTGAAAAAAGGTATCATCATCATCATCATCCTCTTCCTCGGAGCTTTGAAAGAGACCTCCCTTTTTCCTCCTTTCTTTTTCTGTCTCCATCACTCCCCTAGATCAACAGGGTTCTCCACAAAACTGGGCACCAAGGGTGTGTCCTTCTCATCATCCCCTTGCCGTTCTCTGGGGAGGATGAGCACTGTAGTCCACCACATCTGTGGGGATGCCCAGGGTCAGCTCAGGTGTGTTTTTTCAGACAGACTGTGACCCCCCAGTATAATCAGAAGCAGGATACTGGCCTCTTAGATTGCTTTAAGTTCCGGATCCTGCTTACAAGGCATGTGTTCCAGCCAATTGGACTGGGGGCCTGGACTAGAGAAGGTCATGGTCTTTGATCCATCGGAAAAGCAGTTCCTACCTTCCAATCATCAACTGCATTAAGTCCCATGGTTGCCAATAGGTCTACTCTACTCAGGATTTAAGAGGGGATTTTAGGGTTGTATTCTGTGTTTTGCAGTTTGAAGCTTGCAGTGAATTGGATGTGAGCCCCCCCTTCGCAGTCCAAGACCCTTCTGACAGAGGATAAAATCAAGGCAGAGGATTCAAGAATCCATGATAAGCCTTGAGCATGAGCTACAATTTAAACCACCGTTCTGCCTTTCCTGGAAAAAAATCACCCCTGCCCTGTTGCTAATTATGAAGGGTGTGGGGTAATATTTTTCTTTTTCCTGGCTATGCCTTTGAAGCGAACCAAATGAAGTTGGGTGGCGTATTTGTGTTGTGTAGAATGTGTGACCATCTGCTAAAGCCTAAAATAAGAACATCTCCCCCTCCTCTTTCTTTGCAAAGGAAACAGCTGACTCTCCCCTCCTTGCGGATGTATGAGGATCAGTGCAAACCGGATCGTGATGGAGGTGAATCGGATGCTTCTTCGTGTGAACCTGCCCCAGTCCGAGATTCACTCCACTCCCCTTTGGGAACAGCACCCAGCCCCTTGAGACTCCATCGCAATAGCAGAGGTAATGATCCTTTCAATATTA